AATCCGAAGGGCTGACCGGCTGACCCTGGCGATGCAGAGAATGGTTCTGTCTCAGAAAGGGCACACTTCTCATTAAAGATATATAATACCTATCATATATACATATATGTACATATTTATATCATTCATATTACTTGTTCCTGGGTTGCACCTCAGAATAGGCACACCACCATATAGATGGGTTTGTCTCAAGCTAGAGACTCGTGCATACTGACTTGTTCCTGTGTTTTCCCATTTTAGTGGCCAAGGGTATGTGGTTGTGGCGGGATTGCAGTTCAAACTGCTGCGCGAGTAGCTGTCTTCAGGTCGCTTTTGTGAGGCATACCCATTGGGCCATTGGGCTGTCCAAGTCCCTACTTCTACAGTCAGTTGGAAACAGCCTGAAGTCATCAGCCAAAGATGTTTGGCTTCCAGCGTCCAGCGGGCAATTTTGGGCAATCATATTGTTGAAGCTTAGACGCACTGTGGCACTTGTCATAAGACGGTGGATGGAGCGAGGAGCATGCAAACTGATTGCTGATTGAAGCCGCAGGTCCCCAAAAAAGACGCGTTTTAAAACAGGTTGATTTGTTCCGAGAGGATGTCGGCAAGGGTCATGTTTGCCTTGGTCAGCCACTGCTGAGCTTGGGTTGGCTGGCGGCCCAAATTGGCCCATGCTGCACGGTTCGGCCATTGCCACGGCGACTGCAACTGAAGGTTGTGTCTTTGAATAAATTGGGGCTGATCTGAATGGCAAGAATGAACACGCACACACACAGACACACGCACGCGCACCAGCCATCACAATGTCTCACAAGCATGAAACCTGAGGCAAGCTTGCCTACAGGAAGGCTACCTTCCCCCCCACATGTCTCCTGGAGTTCCTGTTATTTGGGGGACTCGGCGCCCTTTGCGCATGTGCTAGGCAGAGCCAAAGAGACCTGTATACGACAAGGTTGAGCAAATCGATGTCAGACATGGTCGTGGTCACCTTGGTGCCCGGCGATGCTTGGCGAAAGGGAAAAAACAGCACCTGACTTTCTGGCGGAATCTGGTCATTGTCTTGGCCAAGATTTTGTATTTGTTTGGGACACAACAGTAGTTGTGGCCATGACCACTGAACGGACAGCGGAGGTGTATGTTGCAGTGCGCAGTGGCCATTTCGAGAGGAGGAAGGCGAGAAAGACCTTGACCTTTACTCCAATAACCGCTCCGAGAGGGCGAAATGTGCAGTTTCCTTACCTGGTTGAGTGTTAGCCGCCAAGGCGGGTTCTTGTCGAAATCGCAATATGATTGAACTCTTTCCGAAGCCTTGCCTGGACAAGAGACGCAAATCCACCAGCTTGATGCAGAGTGCTTGCGAGGGAACAGCGATTAGCATTGTCTCATCGTAGCTCGCGGCGTGCCTTTGAATTGATTGCCTGGGCCGGAATGGCCCAGAATTCAATGCCAATGTTCCTGATTTCAGCTCTGCGGAGCTCTAGACAGCTATGGGCAAGTACCCTGCCTTGAGCAATGCAAATGCTTAAGTCATCTTGAATGTATTTTGTTCAGTCAAGATGGGAGGGACATGTGTGCCTTGTGTTGATTCCCTCAAATGAGTGCCATTGGCTCAAGTTGCGTATGTGTCAAAACTAGGTGTCCTGAAACGAAATGAATTGGTGGGCGTCGAACTCGTTTTGACAGCCATCATTTATTTGTTTTTGCAGCTATTAGCATTAACACAATTCCCCTTGCCGGGCTGTGTTTGCAGAGTGGACTCGCCCAACTCTCCCGCATCGCTGCTGGCCGCAGCGACATCCAGAGGGTGTCAAAACAGCCCATTCAATACCCCCTCTTATGCACTTCAGTAAAGGGGGCGCATGTTGTGTTTGCAGATCAGTACGGAAGGAAATATTCACTGACTCCCAGAATGTCACACCGAGTTGTCTTGGTTGTATTAGAGTGTTTGTCATGCATCGTTACAATGCCTGTGCAGCGTGAAGCTGCACACAATGAATGACTAGTAGAAGCAACTTGTGACAGGGCAGCTTGCTTACCGAAGTTGAATTGATTCCAGAGACCGTCCCATGTGACAAGTGAACCCTTTGGACTGAGCCGGCCTCTTGATGCTGCATTGACCCGCGACTGGGATGCAGTCTTTCTTGAGGTGTTCGTCTAACGAACAGATCTTCTGGCAAGTTCTGTGTTGCCAAGATCCCTCTTGGTTACAAGTACAGTAGCCAAGTGGCAACCATGTCCTGCAAGGACCTTATTCACCCTACTTGCTGTGCGCACCATGCTTTTCAGGTGTGGCTGGTGTGGGTTGCCACTTGATGCACGTAGTCTGCAGACAGTACACAGTACTGTGAGGCTGCAAGTCTTGCCAATGGCCGTATTGCATTGTAATAAAACAGAGCAGCGAAGAGAGCTTCTCTTCAAAGCGAACGGAGACCTCAGCGATTGCTTGGACCAACATTTCCTCAGACGGAAACTCAACTCAGCGACTGATTGCCCGTTGTTGCAAGGAGCATCTCTAGATGGAATCACATTGAAATGTAGGTGTTCCTCTCGGCCCCGCCTGCTCTGACTTCAGCAACCTCAGCGCAGCATCTTTAGTTGGCGCTGTCCTGACGGGTCACTTGCACTAAAAGGTGCCCCCTTCCAGCAATCAAGCTCAAGGAGAGCCACCACGAGCGTTCACATCGTTTGTTCTTCCATTCGTCAAGCACCTTCACCATGTTTGCAGATTCATCTTCCTAACTGATGATTTGGAAATGGGCGGGTCATATGGGACACTGCGACTTTTGCGCTGCCAGGCTGGAGCACAGCCATCCAATCAGGCGCCAGACGAAGGGGCACCGGGCACTCGCAACTAACGGGTACGTGCCAAAGTAGGGGGACCAAATTAGCGGCTTACCAAACGCGAACTGACATTAGTAGCCTCGCAAAAACACGCCCCAATGGAAGGTTTGGAGGCTTCACCCTGCAAGCCCCCAAGCTCTGCAATAGGCTGCGCACTGGCTGTATAAGCAGTGACTTAGCAAGAAAGCTTTGTGAGTAAGAGGGGCATGAACAAGTTATTTGGACGTATTTGGGCACTGCTTACTGTGTTTGTTTGGCTTCTTGCTTTTGCTTTCAAGTATTTGGGTAGCCTAGTGGCTGCCTTCGGGCTCACACATATCGGATCCTGAGGCTGGGGTTGGTCATTCACGGCGTGCATAAACTGCGGAATGCAATTGCGCCTGCCAGACAATGGTCCCCATGGACGCTGCGCCAGGCTTGGGCTGATTGCGGAGGGATGTCATCACGCGGTACTTGAAGAACAGACCACGTTTTGGACCGATTGAATGTGGCAACGGCTATCAGTGACAATTCAGGCGAAGAATAGACTCATCCAGACACAAGTGAAAGCTACAAGACAATTACAAGCAGGTTCCAGCTGCGTGTATGCATTACGACCCATTTGGAAGCCGGGGCGCGGATGCCACGCATTCTCACACGTTGACAGGCGGCCAAAGCAATGCGGAGAACTCAGGAGAGAGCACAGTGCATCTCGTGTGTTTCCGGTCCAAGATCTTGAGCAGGCATCATCAAAACCATGAGAACAAACAGCACACTGGATATTGGAGGGGAAAGGAAAGCCAAAGAAAAGGTCACGCCCATAGGGCGTGCGGTGGCTAGATAGAAAGCAAACACATGTTGAAGGACAAGCTGCGAGGGACATTTGGTCTTCTTGCGACAGTTGGGAAGATCTGGATATATATATATATGTTTTTCTGTTTCTGAGGGTGCACAGTTTGGTTTCCTGGAGCATGATCCACGTTGATCAAAATAACCTCTGAGGTTGACAAGACCATCGTGGTGCCCGGCCATTTGGTGGGAAAGATCATTGGTGCGCAGCCAAGATCATCCTCCTGTGCGAAGGAAACCTTTGGTGAGTTCCATGTTCGATGGTGGAGGCAAAGTGCTACCCCATTTTTTGTCACGATCTTCGTCCTGGTAGGCGGTCAAAATGGGGATCCGCCCCCCCCCCCCCCCCCACCCTGGCTCCTTCCCCTTGTTCCGTTCATTATTGAAGCGAGGCTATGCTTCAGCCATGTAGATGTCAGCCATGTAAATGTCAGCCATTGCCCAACAGCCATGTTCCTGAAGTGCGGGCATGGAGAGCCACATGAGCTAAAAAAAACATGACCCCTTCCTTTTGCAGCGCGGCATGGCCAAACGAGCACAGAGCATGTGAGGCCCTGCGGGCGCGACCATCAAAAAGATGGCCGCCGACACTGGCGCGCAGATCAACATGGACTCCGTGGTGCAGCCAGGCCTCGCTCATCCCCCAAAGCTGCCAAGGAATGGGGTGATGGCTGAGATGTGTGGGGCACACGGGTTCGTCGGGGAAGCAACTCCATTCGTACCATGGTGCAATTGTTGATGGAAACCACTGGATTACTGCTAGATTTGGAGCCCTTGCTGGCAGAGCTATGTTCGAATGTTTCCCAACAGAAGGCTCCTTGATCGAGCCCAAAGGATTCATTTGCGCGCAACTTGGATTCAGCAATGGACATCAATGGACAATATTCGTAGTTGTTGTTCACCTAGTTTCTCACAAAATAGGGGGTGCCTACGCATTTGAACCAGCAAGTCATATTGTGCACTGATATCATCTGGGCATGGGGTGCCTAATAAGCGAAAAGCAGGCGTCCCATTTCCTCCTTAGTGCTTGCAGGTGTGTGGGGCGCACGCGCTGTTTGTGCGGGCCGTGTGCATCGTTGTTGGGTAGTCGTATTGATGGGTGGTGGTCCCCTTTCCGATTGCCGATTGACGGGAATCGGAATCGGAATCGGTTTGGCTTTGTCCCCTGTCAGTTCGGCGGAGTGATGGGCTTCGTTTGTGGGTGTTGTTTGTTTCCTTTCCATGTGGCAATATGGTCAACAATTTACATTTCTTCTCCAGGCGAACCAACTGGGATTGCCTTGCTGTGTGGCGACTAGGAGCAGGACACGGCTTCAAAAGCAGGAAGCAAAACTCATGCATAGGGCACT